GACTGAGCTGAGCTGATCGCTGCTCGAAAAGATCCGCTTCTGATTGGCTGAAACGCCGAAAGTGCAACTTCAACTTGGACCGAGAGACGATTTGCTGTTGACGAAGCAGTCAAGAAGGTCGGATGCATCTGGTGTTGGCAGGTTGAGCCACATGGATACGAACGTTGTGGGGAGTTCGGTCCCATGGCCCCGCGCCTCCTTCGAGCCGTCGTGCGCTGATAGAGCCTACATGGACGCTGTCCATGCCAGTTGTCGTCGTCGTCGCCGCCGCCGATCCGCGCGGCACCAGATGCATGATGCTACGATGGCCTTGCGTAGCGCAATCCGTCGTGCTCGATCGACGGCACGCAAGCGCGAAGGAGCTGCATGAGAACCCGTCGTCGACGGCGTGGCGGGATACCTGGTCGGAATACTCGATGCGCTTATCATGGGTGCTTTGCCGTCGCATTGTTGGACGGTACTCGAGTTGGTACAAGGGGCGTCGTGCCTGCGTGTGCCCCTTGCCGCCCGTCTGGTACCACATGGTCGTTCCGAAAGTCGTGTCCAGGCTCCCGACGTCTCGAAGGAAATCGGATATGTGTATCACATTCGATAACAAATACCAGAGTCGCAACCTAATATTCCCGCAACGGTTCTCCAAAATTGCCACTCGGATTCATGCAATTTCTAACTTTGCAAACACACACAAACGAGGCTTCGTTATCAAAGAAGACACGAGAAGAGGACTTAGCCGAACGCAGCCCCAAACTTGGCTTGGAGTTCGCGCCGAATGATCTTGCCGGACGGGCTCTTGGGAATCACGTCGACAAAGACGACCTCGCGCACCTTCTTGAAGGGCGCGACGCGCTCGGCCACGTACGCCATGAGCTCTACGCCAGCACTGTGAGCTGCTACTCTTGCCATGCAGATAGGTCTACCGTCCGCCGACAGCGTCTCGTTGGGCTGCACCACCACGCAGGCTCGGGGGATTTCTTCGCCCGCGTCGTCACGCCTACGTGCTGTTGTGAGCCGTGTGGACGACGACCGCATCGATGTAGTACCCGCGAATGCAGCCCACGTCGGCGACCTTGGGGTGGGACATGACCACGTCTTCGAGCTCGGCCGGCGCAATCTACGCGCATCATTCGCAACACCATAAGGCCTCATGGTGAAAGTTGTAGCAGAAGAAATACCTGGTGGCCCTTGTACTTGATGAGCTCCTTGAGGCGGTCGACGACGAAGATGTGGCCATCCTTATCCACAAACCCAATGTCGCCCGTCTTGACAAACCCGTCGTCAGTCAGCGTCGCCTAGAGCCCACCATATCTAGTAGTTTCAACCTATCAAGTTGATACATACCGCGGTTGCTTCGTCGTTGTTGAGGTAGCCAAGCATCGTCTGCGGACCGCGGTACCAGAGCTCGCCCGGCACGTCAATGTCATTGTCCGTGCCGTTAATGGGGCACACGACGCGGAGTTCCGTGTTGGGCAAGAGCGGGCCCACCGAGCCCTAATCACGTAATAATGTGGACACTTTGTCATAGAGAGATAGGGCGTACGTATTTGGCCTGGCCGTCCATGGGGAGCGCGCCAACGGGCGAGAGCTCGGTCATGCCAAAGCCTTGCTTGATCTTCATGCCTAGGCGCGCTTCCAGCTGCTGTTCGAGCTCTTCGCCCATGGGCGCCGCGCCCGAAATCACATGCTTGGTCGCCGAGAGGTCGTACTGGTCGACCATCGGGTGTTTGGCGAGGAAGGCCACAAGCGGTGGCACGAGATGCGCCTTCTCAACCTAGTTTCGGAGTCTACCATCCTGCTCGTACATGCAGAGCTAACCTTGTAGCGCTCGAGGCAGTGCAGAAAGGTCGACGGATCAAACTTGGGCAAAACGACCTGCGCACTGCCTTGGTACATGGCCCAGTTCATCATGAACGTGGCGTAAATGTGAAAGTAGGGCAGCACCATGATCGCATGCGGCCCCATGCGATCGATGGAGCTGGCTTGGACGACGTTGGACGTGAGGCCGCCAAACGACAAGCGGACGCCCTATATGCACATGCGCTTCCTGTTGGCATCGCAGAGATGTGTACCTTGGGCGGGCCGGTCGTGCCGCTCGAGAAGGGCAGAAAGTTGACGTCGTTGACGACATCAATCTCGACTGCCGGGACGTTGATGCTGTCGACGCGCAGCAGGTCGCTACCGCATACCATAAGCACAAGCACAGAACTCGCAAGGCGGTCGTACTCGAAGGACTGGAACGTGTCGGACGGGCCGACGCAAAACTGATGGTCGATCGGGATCGCGTACTCGGTCATGGCATCGCGCGCGGACGCTTGCACCGAGTGGTGCGTGATAAAGTACGTGGCCTAGTTGCATGCAGTGAGAGGACGGCGAGGTATTGCAATGTCGTACGTTGGCGGCGCGCATTTGGGCGGCGAGCTCGGTCCCGAGAAACTGCGGCGACGCCGGCGACATGATGGCACCGAGGGCCGTGGCCGCTACACACATGGCATTGCATGAGCAACGAGCAATCGTATGGGTCATGATGGAGCGTACCATGGCAGAAGAGCGGGTACTCGACGCAGTTGACGACGTTGGTGCCAATGACCTAGCAATATGGGCGTGCGGATGGAGGACGGTCAGTACGTACGTCTCCTTTTTTGACGCCGAGGGCCGCGAGCGACGTCGCGATCTTCTGCACCTTGTCGAGGAAGCCGCCAAAGGTCGTCGTCTCGTGCGTGAGGCCGCAGATGAGCGCCGGGTTCTCTTCGCGGCCGACGCTGCTGTCGCGGATGAGCTCCCACGGGGTCTTGGACGGGATCGAGACAGCCGGGTACGGCGACGTGAACACGCGCGTCGAGAAGAGGCGGCGGCGGAGCATGGCAAAAGGCAAAGTGCAAACTGCAAGCCATGGCGACCGCCTGTCTTGCAACGTGTCCGCACCGGCCGTCACGCGTACGGATATCGTGTCGCACGCATACAGTGTAATGGAAGGCAAGCATGAAAGGGTTCAAAGGTTCGCACTGGGTGGGCCACCAGGACGCAGACAGGGCGTATAGTGTGTATGCACTGTCGCTGATGCCACAAAAGGTCGCCACGCACGCCGGCGTCGGTGGCACGGCCGATAAGAGCGCCGACCAGACGGCAATACACTGTATTGGCGCTGAGATTCTGCATGGACACGTCGTCTCGAGCATACAATCTTCAAGATATTTGGACACGCCATCGGCACACGAATCGGATAGATCGAGTAAACAACACTAAGCAACATTATTTTGGTATGATGGGTGCAGACGTCATTCGAGACGAGCACGGCTGCACCACGGTTCCACGAGGCTTGGAGAGTTTGTACACGTCGCTATGGATGCCTTTTGATATTTTAGTGTCGACGGGATGTATGTAGAGTAGCGTATCTGCTGTTGAAGGTGCTGAATCAAACTTCCCATCGTCCTGGCTGGATCGCTAGTTGTAAATAGTATATGCTCATTGTGATATAGTATTATCATACTATTGGAGTGGAGTCGAGATCGCCAAACAGGATAACGTTTGTACTACGGCATTGGTACCACGGTGCAGAGCAGGCAGAAGCTTCTTGCGATCAATGAATATTGCGACGACACTACGAGTGTTCAATCCGACAGTCGTGCAATCCAGCAAATACGCTAGGACATATACTAACTAACTAAAACAGGACAGGAACAGCGTTGATGACGAGAGGTGCCTCGCGACTTCCGTCGCGACGAACGTTGATTCTGCGTGGTGGTGTGACTTCAAGAACGCCACGCTGGCCATGTAAAATCTTTCTCTGTGGCTACCCGGCAACTCGATAGTATCTGCTTTACCGCTGCGTGCTGCGTCGGTTTGTTCCATTCCCTTCGTTCTCCAACAGCACCCAACTAGAAATCTTGCGTCTTTGTCAACGTGTCCGTTTGTTGATGTCGCGATGACACTGGTGCAACTGCTTTCGATACTGGTCCAGCACATACATTGGCCGTGCAACCTCCTTGTTCAAGGGAATAGACAACTCCCTTGCCTTGTTGATGCGGGTGCCCCAGCTTGCGCCAACGAAACATTATTTTGCGATACGATCCACAACAGACAAGTTGTGGACTACCTCTACTAGTATGATCTGCCTGTCAAGCTGGCACTTGGGGCAGCGAAGCACAAAGCAGAGGAACGAAGCTAAGAAGAGGAAGAGGAAGAAGAGGAGGCAAACGGGCAAGCGGGAAGCAAGCCAGAACGGAACCAAAACAGAAGTGAGGGACCGTGAGGTCCCCACGACCAATGGCCCGGAATGTATTCAGGACATTATGGGACATACAAACTACGAGAGAGGTGGGCAAAACCTCCGAGTGGAGGGAAAAAGCCCTAGCCTCGGTGGGAAAACAGCCAATGAGGTGGGCTGGAGAAAACCACCAAACGGAAAAGCGACGAAGTTGTGTCATCTTCGTGTCGGCTGACGAGCCTCTGGAGGTGCTCTCCTGACACTGCCGACGACTTACACATATTTTACCCGTTTTATCTTTAGAGATCGCGTCGTTGATGTCGACAAATGCATTTCGGGCTATGTGGTCATCGACAACTTTTCCACAAAAACGATAGATGAGTGCAAACGTTGCAATAACCCTTGTCCCGCCTTGCTCCACCCCGCGAATGCAACCGAGATCGAGGCCAGTGGGGTGTTGGCGTACTAGTATAACATGACATCTAAAAAGTCTGCGCGCGCTAGGGCTAGGGCTGGACCAAGGACCAATTTGATGGCCCATGCGCTCGCAAGGAATCGAGTACACGGCGAGAGCTCTGTCGTGTATGATTCGAACTTTGGTCTGTCCCAGCAGCCACCATGCGTCCTCTGGCACTCCCTCAGAAAGTTACTAGCTCGAATGTGCTTGTGATCCAACCAATGTTTTCTTGTGCTACGACACAAAGTACAGCAGCTTGCTCGACGACGTGTGAAAGGCGCGTGCGAACAGGCACAACAAGTAGCAATGCCATTACTTGGAATGGCTTAATAGAAAGAACTGCTCACATTTTGTTCCAAATGACATCATCCATTCGACAGTCATTCCACGACAACTAGCTACACTGACGTCTTCTCTAATATTGGGCCTGGAGCTCACGGCGGAGGATCTTGCCCGTGGCACTCTTGGGAATTTCGGGCACAAACACCACTTGGCGAACCTTCTTGAAGGGTGCGACGCGCTCGGCCACGTACTCCATGAGTTCTTCGCCCGAGATGGTCTGACCGGGCTTGAGGACGACACAGGCCTTGGGGATTTCTTCGCCATCGGCGTTCTGACTACAACAATCATGAGCTCCTCGTCGACTTGATGGCTCTGAATCGTACCCGCGGATGCAACCGGCATCGGCGACCTTGGGGTGCGTCACGAGCACATCTTCAAGCTCGGCGGGGGCAATCTAGCACCATAAAGTGTAAGGTCATCACTGTGTTTTCCGAGGTCGTACCTGGTGGCCCTTGTACTTGATGAGTTCCTTGAGGCGGTCCACGATAAACACGTGGCCTTCCTCGTCCACATAGCCCATGTCACCCGTGCGCACAAAGCCATCGGCCGTCAGCGTCGCCTACACGTTGTTGCCATATGAGATTGCAAGGTTCGTAACCCAGATCTGTATGTACGTTGGTCGCTTCGTCATTGTCGAGGTAGCCGAGCATCGTCTGTGGGCCACGGTACCAGAGCTCGCCGACTTCACGGACACCAACGTCGCCTTCCTTGAAGGGGCACACGACGCGCAGCTCCGTGTTGGGAATCGTCGCACCAATCGAGCCCTACCCCTTGGCTATAAGATCTGATACTAAATCGTATCGAACGTACATTCTTGGCGTTGTGGTCCTGCGAGTAGTTGGCGACGGGCGAGAGCTCGGTCATGCCGTACGCTTGCTTGACGGTGATACCAAGGCGCTCCTTGATCGCGGCTTCGAGCCCTTCGCCCATGGGCGCGGCCGCCGAGACGAGCATTTTGGTGGCCGAGAGATCAAACTGGTCGACGAGCGGGTGCTTGGCGAGGAAGGCTGCGATCGGCGGCACAATGTGGTTGAGGCGGACTTCGTATCTTTGGAGGTTGCCAAGAAACGCCGGCGGATCAAACTTGGGCATGACGATTTGCGCTCCGCCTTGAAGCAGCGACACGTTCATGAGCATCGTGCCGTAAATGTGGAAATACGGCAGCACCGAGACCGTGTGGCCGGTGAGGTCGTCGAGCACCGACGTCTGCATCGCGTTCGCGGCCAAGTTGAAGTACGACAGCTTGACGCCCTAGTGCCATCACAAAATATACGTTAGTGTTGTGAAGTTTCTAGTACCTTGGGCGGGCCCGTCGTGCCGCTCGAGAACGGGAGGTAGCTCACGTCCTTCTTGAGGTTGACCGCGACCTGCGACGGGTGCAAATTGCTCGTTTTGAGGAGCTCACTAGTCAAAATGTGTGGTTGAGTATCAGAAGCAAGGAAGGCGACGTACTCGAACGACTGGTAGTGGGTCGAGGGTCCAATGCAAAACTGGCGGTCCATCGGGAGCGGGTAAAACTCCATGGCCTCCTTGGCCGCATCTTGCACCGCCGCGTGCGTGATGAGAAACTTGGCCTAGTCCGAGCACATTCTGTAAAATGCACTGTATCGAGCGAATGGAAGTAATACCTTGGCCGCCTTCATTTGGACGGCGAGTTCGGCGCCACGGAATTGCGGCGAGGCCGGCGACAGGATCGCACCAATCGCAGTTGCCGCTACGTATCGTGTTTGTGAGATGCTGCAGCTTTTGTTCAAACTCGTACCGTGAAAGATGATGGGATACTCGACGCAGTTGACGGCGTTGGTTGCAATGACCTAGTTGAAGTCGGAATTGAGAGGTGAAAGTGACGAGGAAAATGCACATACGTCGCCCTTCTGAACGCCCCGCTCGAGAAACGAGGCCGCGACCTTTTGCACGCTGGAAATGAACGTCCCGTACGTCATCTTCTCGTGCGTGAGGCCGCAAATGAGCGCCGTGCGGTCTTCGCGGCCCTTGGATGCGGTCTGGAGGAGCTCCCACGAGGTCTGGAGCGGCAGCTCGACGTCCGGGTGCGGCGACTTGAAGATGCGCGACGTCGCGGTCGAGAGGCTCCGGCGGGCAAGGCGGCGGGACGTGTGCGAAAGCATGCTAAAAGGAAAGTGGGGCGTGTTGATGCAAAGATTAAGGTTCCCAAATTGCACTTGGCCACATGGCCATGTTGAAGCGACACCTAACGGCGCGCTCGTGATTGGTCGCTTCCAATTTATGAGCGAATTGATTGGCGGTTCCAATTGCGACGGGCCAATCACACAAGAAGCCAGGCTCGAGGGATCTCCCGCGCTGTCGAGTCAACACGCGTTTGCGTGCGTCATGAAAGTACCGAGCGCGGCGTCATCGTCGCCAACCGACTCGAAGAGCCGATGGCACTGAACCAGGCTTCTGGAAGCTGGCGAGGTCGCCCCTCGCATGCGTTAGCGGCCGCGTCGTGCCACAAACGACGTGTCGATGACCGACCCACTCCACGAAGCTGCAACAAAAGTTGAGTGCGTGCAATGGGTGATGATGGTACGCATGCAGTTGCACATACTAGTACACGCCAGTCGCAGTGTACCGGTACCGGTAGCGCTATCAAGGCTAGCCACCCGAGCCGTGCGACTCAAGATGAAAACCATGCTGGAGCTACACTCCCTTGGTGCATCAACCGAGCCAAACCCATTTTGTTGCACGTGCTGCTCGTGATCAGACGCTGGTTTACATCGACGATCAGTCGACACTTGCCGGCTGGATTCAAGGTCGTTTCTACCGTGATTGGTTCCGATGCTTGTTACGAGCCACGTCAGTCGGTCAGTCGCTGATCCACAGCGGCGTCGACAAGAATTCGTGTCCCTCCATCAGCATTAGCTATCAGCATTGGGCAAGAGAATGTAAGTTGACTCGATGAGCTCGTGGCTTGTGGGTTCTTCTTCGTGTCGCGAGGGAATTTCCCGTTGTCCGTCGTACAGGCTACCTCACCAAGAGTCCAGTTGGGCCTGCCAAATCACAGCTCGATGTGGTATGAATTAGAGGCTACGTTATTAATTCCCGCACCTTTGTGTTTTCTCGCAAGCAAACGAAAGCTTGGGACCCATTTTACGATGATGGCGCTCTTGCAATGCTTGTGCAGCGCTGGATCTTGGTGGCTGAGGTCACAACCGGTTATCCACTCTAGCCGGTTATCTTGTAACGGTTTTTCTGGCTAGCCGAAAGACGAACCGTACGACTGGCCGTAAGAATAACCGGATAAAGCTGCGTGCTGGTCGCTTCCAGAGTCGGCGCGCATTTTCGGTTGGCGCCATTTGCGCGCCAGGCGAGAGGTTCTGTGTCGGCGCAAGCTATTGGCACAACCTATGCACGCCGAGTAAAGGTTGCATCGTATGCACGCGCAGCGCAAGATGCGAATCGATAGCCTTGGGAGTCCTAAGACTTTTCGAGTACTTTGTTAGGACTCGGAAAGTCTGTCCACGGCCTCCCCTACTAGTAGCTCTTTCTATCCAGGCTCTCATGTGCTCTATCCCTCTGCATTGAAATGAATTCCTCTGGCGTTTTACGAGCCGCAAGTGCAGTGCAGATCCCACAGCGAGGCGTCGCGACTGATCTCGACGACGTCGTGCGTAGTGTTTGTTTGTCGTTGCTGTCTATCCTCCGATGCTCCTAGGTTGAGAGTACGCGCTTCGACCATGGTCGATGCGTTTATCGTTGAGCGACCGACGACCAGATCGGGATCAGGACGATCTGAACCAACTTGAACCGTGCGACGGTTGACGTCATGCTATCAGGTCGCGAGCAATGTTGGCGCGTCGTAGAGAAAGCTCTGGTTCGACCGATGTTTAGGCAAGCATCGCGCGCTGCTCAGATTCACTTGCCTCAAGATGCGCTCAAGCACGAGTGCATGCAATTGCTATACCAGCACCCAGATCGATCCTTGTGATGCGCACCTGACCGACGCCGCATCAGCACAGCCTCGGGCGACCTCCCGTGCCTCCTCCGAGGTGCTGTCTTACGATCGGTCCAACGTACCACGGTCGGAAAGACTGTGTTTTGACACCCAGCGCGCCTGATCTACGCCCATCAAGCCAACTCTCTTGCGCTCGTCCGTCGTGCTGCTGGAATCTGGGTGCGTCTGCCGGTTGCATGGTCGTTTTTCTGCATGGTCAGTTTATTGCCGGCTCCCGCCGCCTCCGAAGCATCCGACGCCGCCCCAGACGACGTGCTGGCAACGGTGCCGGTGGCTAGTACTAGTATCGAAGAGGCATCCAACGTGTTTTGTACACGATGCTGCACTGGACGTATTCATCAATTGCGTTTGCCACGGTACGGCAAGTGTATGCAAAGCCAGCTGCCACCCCCAGCTGCCACGTGGTGCGGCGCCGGACACCTCGCCATGCCCAGCAAGAGGGCCTCTACAGCGTTCAGATCACGCTTGACGGCTCGTTCTTGACGGTTGCGGGCAGATGGAGCTTCGTTCTTGTCGACGCGGCTAGCATTGGTGGTCGAGACGGCAATAAACCGACCGCGTTGGGTTGTCAGCCTTGATGCGTAATTGCGCGGTCGCGTCTAATAAGCTTACATCCGAGAACCTGATTCGGGTGGCTTGTCTTCGAGACGCGACTTGTTGAGCTCGACGGAGCACAAATCAGCATTCCACCGGACATGACTCGAAAGCACTACCCGCTGCAGACGAACGCGTTCCAGTGCCCTTCGCTGAGCGCCAAGGACGAGAGCCGGCTCATCCAGAGCGGCGAGCGCGCGCTGCGGCAGTTCCTCGACCGCATCCTCAACCACAACGACGCCATCACGTGGACGTCGGCCGGCGACCAAAACGGTGTCCGCCTCCTCGAAGGCGCGTCGCCCACCTTTGCCAAAGGTACGTTTTGCCGTTGAAAAACGATTGCATCTCAATCTGAATCTCAATGTAGGTCTAACGTGCCTTCGCGCCATCTCGCAAGTGAACGCGACGCTCGAGGAAGTCGCGCTTCTCCACGCCTTTGAGACGCGCGACAAGTGCTTCGAGTACATGCGTCATTACGCGAGCGACATTCTCGACATCATTCCGCTCTACAGCTTTGTGAAGCGGACGGCTGACCACCCGCTGCGGCAAATGTACGTCAAGTGGGTCGCCGTCGAGAGCCCCGTGCCCATGATCAAGAACCGCGACTACCTCTACATTGAGGTACCAACTCCCGATCAACCTCCTGGATGCTAAATGTGGTGTAGGCGCAAAACGAGTTTGAAATGAGCAATGGTCGGCGCGGCTGGGCCTACTGCCAGTCGTCGCTGAACCTCGGGTGCTGCCCGTCCTTGGAGGCGACGAGCCTCAACTTGATCCGTGCGACGCTCGACCACACGGGCTGCGTCTTCTTGGAGTCCGAGACCCCGGGTGTCCTCGACGTCATCTACCACATGTCGACGGACTTCAAGGGCGCGATTCCGCCATGGGTCATCAAGATGGCGCTCAAGCGCCGGGCGCGCAAGATCACGATGATCAACGACTACGTGCACGGCCTCCGCCTCGCAACGCAGCCACTCCGGAGCAAGGACGACGTCAAGAAGACCGCAAAAGCCGCCAAGAACTGCACAATCTGCGCCAAATCGTTCCGCTTTCATCGGCAAAAGGCCTGCCAAGCGTGCAGCAACGCGGTGTGCACGAGCTGCAGCCACTCGTGGCGCGTCAACGGCGGCATCACAGGCCCGACGCGCGCACGCATCTGTACTTACTGCTCCGACAGCGTCCGCGACGGCCAATGGGAGCAGAGCATGCTCCACACGTGTCGCTCTGGCACATCCGACTCGACAGGTGCGTGGACCAACTCGAGCAATGGCGTGCCTCGACACCCGTCGCCCAACACGGACAGCGGGCCACGGCCGATCCACTTGTACGACGACAGCGAGAACCGGTCGTTGCACCGCCGCCGGTCGTCGCAGCGACACGAGTCGGCCCCGCGCATCTCGCCGCCCAACAAGCCGACACCGTCGACGGCGCATAGCAGCAGCAGCGCCGCAGCCGGCAGTAGCAGCGAGCGCATGGACCTCTCGTACTTGAGCTGCTATGGTGTCGATGTCAAGCCCACGCGCGTCGCTTCAGAGCGACCGCTGGCGCGAAGTGTTTTGGCCGATTAGTAGGCGTGTGCTGTGCATGTTATAAGCTATAAGTCTACCGTTGTGTCTTGCATGCTTCCGTTGCCAGCTCAGCCTGCCACGTCATCCAATCTATGCGTTGATTGGTGCAATCTCCAACGGCAATGTGGTGGGTCTCATCGCGCGGGACCAGGATGCGCAACGCATCAACACCGCACGAGAGTTGAGCAGTATGAGTAATAGTCCGCCCGTGGTAATATAGTAGAGTATGCAAGATACTCGCTGCGCAGAAGCAAGGGGAAAAATGAAAACGCCTTTTTGCCGATCCCTCGCCGCTGAGCCGCCGCCGAATATGTACGTATATCATCGGACACGCGCCGAACGGCTGTGTTCTGTGGCCACGAACCCATTCGGTGTGGGTCACTGGGCACGAAGGGGCGTGGACACGTACGTGGGCGCTGCTCGACCCCCCATTAAAAACGCGTCCTCGTATGACCTGTGCAGGCCTTTCTCGAGAGGCGCAGTGAAGCCAAGCAATTCACGAAGTCATACCGAACAACACTTGGATAAATTATGATATAAATTGCAGACGGCATCACACTGAGACACGGAGCTAGATACGGCGCACACTTAGACGCGCTGATGGCCGTGATGGGGGCGGCGCGCCGTTGGCTGCTCGACGCTTTTTCGGAGGTCGGTGACGATGACGCTGAGGTTGTACCGGAACGCAGGGCGGTACTTGGGAAGCTTCATGCTGTCGTCGCTCGAGCTGCTCGTGGCCGTGCCGACCGACGACGCGTTCGAGTCGACCGTGCCGGTGCGGGAGATACGTCGCTTAGTGGGTCCTTGCTGCTTGGTGATGTCGCCCACCGCCTTGGAGTGCGCGTTGTGGAGGAGGTGGTTGTACGAGCCAAGCATCTTATTGCGCAGTAGTAAGTGTCGTATTCGAGGTGAATGGAAAAGTGAGGCTCTTGAAGTGGGTTGCGATTCCAGTTGCCGTGGGACAGGTCAACGCCATCGAACGCAACCAGCCGTCGCGGGTGGTGCTCGGCCTTCCATTCTTTGCGACTCGAACTAATGTCAGATTCCATATCGCTCTCTGGCGTGTTCACGCAGACCCGCCAGCTGGCAGCCACATTCCCGCCACAGCTTGCCACGACAGCTGGGTGCTCTCTTCGCCAAGTGCCTTCGGCTAAACAAGCTGGCTGGTCCTCTGCGCCATTTAACACTGCAAGACGCGCAAGATGGCGCGCTGGATTGATGAACGTGTCCGATGCTGCGTTCCATAGAAGTCCGTGCCGCGCTCTCTTCTACAGCGACCTCGGCATCCCAACACCATGCTTGGGTTGTTGCTGATACGGACGCAGACGACGGACGACGAGCTTGGAATGCTTGAAGGAATCTTAGCGCAGTGATCGTTGTCGGTCCACCCACGTCACGTACAGCACATTGGGGGTCGTGCGCGCGGCGGCGTCTAATTGTTGGCGAAACAGCGTGGGACTCGCAAGCGGGCAGACGCGGGTGCGTCCACGTCCATGCAGAGGGTTCTTTTCTTTAGTCCGCGCGCCAAGCGCATGGCACCTGTTCGAGTCAACGTCGAGTGTACAATTACATAGGATTAGGTCGATTTTGCATCTTAAATACGAGAAAACGGCGATTTAGTAGCGCTGCCGGGACGCAAACCGTGGCCGGTTGTACGCGGCGTCCACATAGTCGCCGTAGACACGATGCGGCTTGGTCGTTGGCGTCGGCTTTGTCGGCTTTGGCACGGACGGCTCGACGCTGGCGGTCATTTGCACGAGCATCGTCTGCAGATCAAAGGCAAATGCGGGCTTGTAGGGCGGGGGCGGCGATGCGGACGTCGCAGTCTCGGCCGACGACCCTGAACTCGATCGGCGCGTCGGTTTGGTAACGTACGCAGTGCTTGTGGCCGTCTTGTCGCCAGAATAGTCGGCGTAGAGCTTGGCGCGGTCGTACGCAAAGACGCCCGAGCTGCCTGACATGGTGAGCATCATCTTGACTCGTGGCGGGAAATTGAAAACTGCGAGAAAGGTGGCGTCGTCGAGATGGTACGTGGTTGGCGTGGACTCTGGGTGGCGTAACCAGCTTTTGGCGTCTGATCCTGCTGGCTTGTGTACCGTAGTAGGCACCACCCCTCGTATGTGTCCTACAGTGGGCGCGATCTAATCTATTGGACCATCGATCGTCGTGTAATCTGCTCTCGCGGCTACTCCTTGACCTCGTCACAATCAATAGCCAAGAAACGATCCACCAAGAAACTTGCTGTTTGCCATTTGCTGCACGCGCGATCAAGGCATCTGAGATCTGGTGGTGCTACAAGCCTCTCCAAAACGGGCTTGGCACGAGGACGCCGTCGAGCTCGTGTATTCGTGCGCCATAAACTGCGCCGCAGCAAAACGTTAGAAGGTTTTCGTACACGTGCGGGTAAGCTGTGCGGGTAATCGCTACGGACTGCGCGTGCGGGTACTACCCGCGAATGGGGATCGGGGTACTGATGTCAACGTTGTCATCGGGAAGATATACCACAGTACCGGTGTGGATCAGGTGGTGCAGGGACAACTCAGTCTGTACAGCGTAGTGCATCGACGAAGCTTGCGTCGAACACAGACGCCGTGCTTTACCGTCGTCATTGACAGAGGCCAAATCAAAATAAGAGGTTAGCGAACGTTCGGCGGGGCGTCGGGGCGGCTTGGATTGCGGGTAGTTGTCGTGAGCGCGCCGACACAGATACCACCCGTGTATCTCGGCATACCCCGGCCGACGTACGTTTTCTGGTTACAAAAAGGCCGCAGCTGACCGAGATTGGTCGCACGGTCAGCGTAGACGCTGCTGGCCATTGACGTTGCAGCTATGATTTCTCAATCGGCGGGGCTTGTCCAACTCTTGATGACCACGTCGGTCACACTTGCTTTTGATTGCCCATCTGAGATGGTCGCTCCGCGATCAAAATCGCGATGCTCTAGCACACCAATAAGGACCCGCGAGGCTCATCCGACCGGCTCATTTGGCTGTGACGTGGCGCGTTCCAGATGTGTGGGTCCAGCATTGCGTCCAGAGACCATCGGTCGTCGGCCGTTTCAAAACGCTGCTGCCATGCACGCAGCCGCCTATCATTTGATATTGGATGCGCTAAGTGCTGTCGGTCGTTGCTGTCTACGTCCATTGCCAAGAAGAAGAAGAAGACGCCGTGGCGAGAGGCGGTACAAAGACACTCGCTGCGTGCTAGCGTCCGATTGGACATTCTCCGAACCTGTGGGTGCAATCACGGGTAAAAAATGGCGTGGGTGCATTTTCTTGAAGCAGGACGACGATGAGCACGTATTCTCGAGTATTTCAGCATGCCAAAGAAGGCGCACTACCCTGTGCCGACAGGCTTCTTCCGTTGCCCGGCGCTGCCGGAAGCGGAGACGACCCACTACATTGAGCTCGGCGAAAAGGTCCTTCGCAAGTTCCTCAAGAAGGCCCTCCTTCCGGACGCGAGCGTGCACTGGCGGCCCAACGGCGAAGCCGACGGCGTCGAGCTCTTTGCGGGCGAGCCCACGCACCCGAGTGCGCACACCAAAGGTGCAATGTCGCTAGTTTGCACTTGCGGTTTCATATCATCGTGCGTGCAGGTGTCATCCAGTACCGTGCCAAAGCCCGGATCCACGCCAGTCTCGAAGAGGTTGCGGCGCTGCACGCGTTCGAGTCGCGAAAGCACTGCTACGAGTATACGCAGCTGTACAACCACGACATTCTTGACATGCTTACGCTCTACAACTGCCTTCCGCGCTCGGACGACCGGCCGCTCAAGCAGGTGTACGTCAAGTGGACAGCGATGCAGAGCCCCGTGCCCTTCATCCACGACCGCGACTTTTGCTTTGTCGAGGTACACTATATTGCCGTGCTCATTCTCGTGAGCCCACGTTCGCTAGGCGCAAGACGCCTTTAGCTTGACGGGCGGCCTCAAAGGCTGGGCGTTTTGTCAGCACTCGATCGCTCTGCCGTGGTGCCCGCCCCTCCACGACACGCAGCTACGCCTTGTGCGCGGGTCCATCTACCACACGGGGTGCGTTTTCCTCGAAACGAGCACGCCTGGCATCCTGGACGTCATCTACCAGTTGGCGACAGACTTCAAAGGCTCGATCCCGTCGTACGCGCGCAAGCTGGCGCTGCGCCGCCGGGCGCGGAAGATCACGGTCATCAACGACTTTGTGCACGCGCGCCGACTCATGCACGTCCCCATGAAGTCGCGCGACGAGCTCGTCTCGACAACCGACCGGCGGCTGTGTTATCTCTGCGACAAGGCTTTCTTTGGCCTCGCCAAGCGCCACAACTGCCATGGCTGCGGCGAGGTAGGAAGCATTGCAAGTTTCTTGCTTGTGTAGACCTCTCAGTGTAGGTTGTGTGCGCCCGCTGCAGTCGGTCGTGGCGCCTGTCCCACGGCAACGTCTCGACCAAGGTGCGCATCTGTGCCAAGTGCAGTGCGGACGTTCGATCAGGTGCGGTCGCATCCAGCAGCCGTCGGCTTTCACGCAGCGCCTCGTCGCTCTCGGGCACCATGGACCCGCACGAGTCGGACGTCGTGGATCCTATCTTGCTCTTGACCCAGTACGGCGAGCCCACGCGGGTCGAGTCCAAGGGCAGCGTCGACTTGGGCTACTTGGAGGTCTACGACCGCCACAAGCCGGCGCCCGACGAAGCCAAAACACGCTTGATGCTCGAGCCGCCGGCTGCAATGCTAGAGGAGAAGGGCTCGGACTCGGCCGAGTTCGAAGACTTTTTGAACCTCATGGCCAAGATCAACGTCAAGCAGCAGAAAAGCGCACGCCTCGCACGCTACTCGGCCAGAGGCCCTGCGGCACCGTAGTAGACGAGCCGTCCTTGGTAGAAGTGTGTGTATGTTTATAGACGCAAATGAGCAGTAGATGCCAACGCAAAATTGTCACTGTCCGATGCGTACGTCATACCTTTAACTGCCTCCTAGCTCTCCGTGCGAGAGCGTGATGGGCGCGTTCGTAATTGCAGCGACCATGATGATGCGCCGCCGAGGGGTGAGCGACGATCGATGTCGCTTTTACACAGGTGCTCGGGCGCAGGCTCGGGCGCATGGCCACGACCAACAAAGCGCATCGACCGTCGTTTCAATGTGCAGACGACCGTGTTGTGCGATCCTGCAAGAAAGGACGGACGCAGTAGCACCACAACCTCGTGACCGACTCGCCGTCGTCAAGCCTCCAACTCGACGGCTCGTTGGTTGTCACACAACCCGACGAAATATGAGCGGCGGCCAGCTTGGACGGCCTCCCCGGCTCGGAGCTGCGAGATGGATGATAGCACCATCATATGGGCCGACGTCGGCGATGCAAACACGGTCTTGTACAGTACGGGGACGAGAAGGACCGAGGCTACGATCACGTTTGGGACCGTGCTTCGTACTCCCGCTGCTGTGAGCCCTTCAATTTGCGTCAAGTTGGTGCGAAGGGCAATGTGCGCTCTGCCTCTAAACTGCATATGTTTTACTGGATATCAGTATGCTTCCAGGTCTACCGTACATGGTGGCCGCGCACCAGGGGTGTGTTGACGCAACAGAAAAGTGAGATATGCAAAACCGCCTCTGACCTCCAAGATCCACTTGACTTGAAATTTGTATGCAGCGATCGTGTGCGGGCTCTCGACTGCCACGTATGCGTAACACATTACGCCACCGGCTATCAGACCACGCTGCAGCAGATGGGCATGGTTCGCTTCTTCGCCTTTGTTCGTTCCCAGGTGGCCGGCCAGTCCTTGAGGCATTACACGCCACCTGGCGTCCCCGTCAAGAAAGCACTCTTGGCGCCAGTTTGACACTGGCGCGATGAAGTACCCGCTCGACGACAACTTCTTCCGTGTCCCGCCACTGTCGCCGGCGTCGCGCCAGAGCTTCTTAGACCAAGGCGACAAGATCCTCCGGACGTTTCTCGACAAGACGCTCAAGCGCGACGAGTCGATGCGATGGTCGTTCGTCGGCGAGTACGACGGTGTCCGCCTCCTCGAAGGCGACATTCCAGGCCTCAAGCTCGACAAAAGCATCACGCCCTTCCGCGCAGTCACCAAGATCCACGCGACGCTCGAAGAGATTGCCGAGATGCACGCGTGCGCCACGCGCGCCCAGTGCAAGCGCTTCATCCGCAACTACGCCGATGACGTGCTCGACCTCATGACGCTCCACAACCTTGTCGAGCGCAGCACCGCCCACCCGCTCAAGCAGGTGTACGTCAAATGGACCGTGTGCGAAAGCCCAGTACCGATCATCAAGGACCGCGACTTTGTCTACCTCGAGTCGCAGGACCTCTTCAAGCTCTCGAGCGGCCGGCGCGGCTGGGCGCTGTGCCAGAATTCGATCGAGTTGCCGTACGTGCAGTCGCTTCAGAAGACGCCGCTCCAGGCCGTGCGGGGGACGCTCAACCACACGGGCTCGGTGTACATCGAGACTGACACACCGGGTGTCCTCGACGTCATCTACCACATCTCGACCGACATGAAGGGCAACATCCACCACTGGGTCCGGAAGCAGGCCATGAAGCGCCGCGCACGGCACGTTGCCGCGCTCAACGACTTTGTACACCAAGCACGCCTCGCGAGCGTCGCGCTCAAGTCGAAAGCCGAGCTGTACACACCGTCGTCGGCGGCGACAACGATGGTCGTGCACAACTGCAGTCTCTGCATGCGCGATCTCTCGCGCGCCCGGTTTTGCCAATCGTGCGCCGAGCCGGTGTGTAGTCGTTGCAGCCGCAAGTGGCGCCTCCCCAACGCGCCGGCCGACCAACCCAGCGTCCGCATCTGCAACGTGTGCTCGTCGGCTGTCCGCAGTGGCCGACTGACATCCGACGACGGCCACTCGAGCGCGCCGTCCGAGGTGTCGTCCGCTGGCAGCGACGTCAAGGCACGAAAGCACTCGTCGGTCGCCTCGGACGTGGCGTCGGTCGTAAGCGCAACCGATGCCAAAGCTCGCAAGAGCTCCATGCCCGTCGAGCAGACGTCTGGCGCGACCACCGTCGTCGCGCCTCGTCGTCGCACGGTCGATCCGGTCGAAATGACACCGACCAAGACGACGGCAAAGACCAAGACGACCGATCCGTTGCGAATTGACGAAGACACGATGGATCTCTCGTACCTCAAGCTCTACGAGGCGCAGGGACCGGCGCCGATTGGCAACGTGCACCCGCAGGCGCTGATGCGACCGGAGCCGTCGACATCGTCGTTTGTGATGATGGAACCGACGGTCGAGTTTGACGAATTCGACGACGACGACGCCAGCGGCGTGTCGACGCCGGGGTCCCGACACGGCAGCATGGACTTTGACGACCCGGCGTTCGCCAAGTTTGTCGATCACATTACACAGGCGCCGATGCGACAGAGCCTTCGCATCGCGCACGAGTTGTCGCGGTAGCATACTCGTCCATAAAACCCAAATGCTAGCAGTATTTAAGATCTCCCACTACAACAAGGACCATCGGACAGCGATCTATGAACACGTGTGCAAGCTTGTTCTAGTAGTGGGCTATACAAAACGCATTCCTCAATGCTGAATGCGAGCCACCACCAACGATAGAAGCCCTTTGAGACCTCTTCCAAACCAGCTTGAATTTACGACATGAAAACGACGGTGCACGAGACAGAAATGGTGGATTGACTAGAGTCGACCAACTGAGGCGACCGAGTGACAACGCCAGCGAACCTGAGTTCATTATTCACCACCACCTACTCTCCATGGATGGCGAGGGTTCGCCAAGAAACAACGTGAAACACGTTGGAAGTTTCTTCCTATCGTACTAATGCGCCCTGGCACCCATCCTTTGAAAGCGACAAAGTCAACGACGTTCAACGTACCGGTACATTGTACGGCTGACATCCTCTGTGTAAGCTCTGGAGAAGTCCAACGTAGGGCTGTTATGGGCGCAAACCGTGTTGACGAATCGAATTTCCACGGGTCGGACGGCTCGCGTCAACACGCGCAATCAGACGCTTCGCCACCAAGGCACAGAACCAGAATTACCCTTTGGTGCCAGTCTGCTGACAGGGATGACGTTGCTGGCACCACCTGCCCCGGTGTGGAGACGCGTCTTTGAAGATGGATGAGGCCAGTGCGGCTGGCCTGTTGTTGAAATGAGTTATTAACATGCAATTATATAGTGAAGATGGTGGACTTCCTAGAGCGCTCGTGAGGTTTGGCCGGTACGTCAAGCTGAGGGCGAAATGTGCGGCTGGCCTGTTGCTTGTGCTTTGGCCACCGCCTCTGCAACGCACGACACGCCTTCGTACGTGCGACGTGCCGACGTCGGTGGCGCGGGACACGGAAGCGGATGATCTGTCGGTGCCGACGACCCGAACTTGTTCGCGTCCAAGCAAAGGACTTGCGTCGACACCACCGTGGTATCCAATCGCGTGGTTCAAAGCGGCATTGTTGGACTGTCTGGAGCCTTGGTCTGGAGCGACAGGGTGGTAGTACGTTCGGCACCGCGCGACGAAGAATCGGAGTAGCTGTCTCTTGCAGCAGCTCCTGCTCCTGCTTGCTCGCGGAGCAGTGTAGTATGTGGGCAGCCCATCGTCGCCAGCATCGAATCTCCGGTACAGTGTAGTGCGAGAGCAAGAAGAAGATCTAATCGGGCACCAGATGGCGGCCGCGAAAGGCAAGCAAGGGTCACGAGCGTCCGCAACGCTCGGTTCGACCACGTTCGCTGGAAAAAGCGCACGGACGTGCGTCGGGTCGCGGTTAATCATGCTACTGTGGCATGCCGGTCTTCTGCAACCGCGCAGACACGAAGCAGCGGCTGCCTCTGCCGACGCAGCGTGTCGACGCCGTTGGGATTGACGTATCAACGCCGTCGTGCCGACGCGGGTATGCTTTTTGGTGCCGTCATCACCCGCGTTCATCCATCTACTCGACCGATCGCTCCACCCAGAAAGTGCAAAGTGCAAAGTCACATCACAATCGGGTGGCCACGGGCGTCCACCAACTCGTTCTCGACACCCGTTGAAGGCAGCTCTCTCCGAGCTCATCACTGACCCCACGCGGTGTCAACTCGCCGGTCTTCAGTCTCTTCTTCGTTCTCGTGGCGCCATCTGGTTCAAAAACCGGCAACGCCACCAGCCGCAATAGGTGCAAGTGCATTTGCCAAGTAGCGGCCATGACCGCAGACGCAAAGACAACGCCCGTGCCCAACGGGTTTCCGGTCCCCGAGTCTATCTTTGACGTTCGGCCGCTCACGCCGACCGAGGAGGCTGCGTACATTGCCACGGGCGAGAAGGCGTTCAAGACCTTCCTCGATGCGGTCCTCAAGCGCGATCCCGGTATGGTCTGGAACTTTGTCGGCGATTACGACGGCATCCAGCTCCTCGAAGGCGACATTCCCGGCTTCAAACTCGACAAAAGTACGTCGTTTTCGAAATTTCTTGCTGCGCTCATCGCATGTACGTAGACGTGGTGCCGTACCGCGCCGTCGGCAAGATCACGGCGACGCTCGAGGAGATTGCCGAGCTCCATGCGTTCGAGACGCGCGCCAAGTGCGACTTTTACCGCAACCACCACGCGCAAGACCTCGCCGACATGTTTCCGCTCTTTAGCTTTTTCGACCGGACGCCGGCCAAGCCGCTCAAGCAAATGTACATCAAGTGGTCAGTCATCGAGAGCCCGGTCCCGGTCGTCAAGAACCGCGACTTTTGCTTTGTCGAGGTGCGTTTCTCGATTTTTCCAAGTATTGTTTTTCATTCTCCATATTTTGACGTAGGCACAAGACGAATTTCGCTTTTCGTCGGGTCGGCGCGGCTGGGCGTTTTGCCAACTCTCGGTCGACGTGCCCGGCGTCGTGAACCTCCAAAGCTCGCCCCTCAACTTGGTGCGTGGTGCGCTCCACCACACGGGCTGCGCGTACATTGAGACCGACATCCCCGGCGTCCTCGACGTCATCTACCACATTGCGTCCGACTTCAAGGGCGCGATTCCGCACTGGGTGCGCAAGATGGGCATGAAGCGCCGCGCGCGCCACCTTGCACACGTCAACGAGTACGTCCACAAGGTCCGACTGAGTACACGCAACTTGCTGCCAAAGACCAAGAGCTTTTACAAGAGCAGCAACACCGACGACGACGAAATCGACGACGACGACACGTCGGGGCGGTGTTGTTATCTCTGTGAGCAGCCCCGCCGCTTCTCGCGCATGCGCAACTGCCAGTCGTGCGGCGAGGCTGTCTGTGTGCGCTGTAGCCGCAAGTGGCGCGTGCCCACCAAAGTCAACGAGCACAACCTCGTACGGGTGTGCAACCTCTGCTCGCGCAAGGTGCGCCAGGACAGCATCTCCGAGTGCTGCCTGGCAACGCCCAATTCCGACGCGTCATCCGAGGCCAGCAGCTGGCGCGCGTCGTTCCGGACGTCGTCGCTCGGCGGCGGCTCGGACTTTGACGCGCTCGACATAACGCCGACGCCATGGGCAAACAAAAGCCGACAGCTGAGCGATCCACCGACCATGGACATTTCGTACGTCAACTTGTACGGTGCCGACTTGCGCAAGACCAAGTCGCTGCCGGTGCTCACGGCGCCGCCAGCGCGCATCGTGCTGTTTGATCCGGCGACCTTTGCGGCGCACGAGACGCCGGTCGAGGCCGACGACGAAGGTGACGCATCGGTCGTCGACGACCTCGACACCTTCTTGCTCTCCCGTTGATGTTGCGTTGCCCGGTGGAATACACACCTACAGTATCTAATTACACTACTCGTGTCTTCTTCTCTCGACGAATGTACGGAGCTGTGTAGCAGCACCCTTGCTACCGCTTGGTGGAGGAGGCACCGCGGACGCTCCAAGTACCTACCGTAATAGGGGCGAGGTACATATTACATATTCTATTGGTATGGGACATCGCTTCGGTGATCGCCACACGTGCGTGCACAGCAAACACCAAGCAGAGAGGCAGCGCGACCGCTCGTCTTTGCCCATGACGTTGCAGGTCGAAGCTGCCGTACTAGATGCGAAGCAGCGCAACCGTCTTGCGACGGAACCAGCAGAACAGACGTAAGTAGCGCACGATACGTCCACGCTGCGACATGTCGAGCAGTGCGCCTTCTCGATCTCACAGTGCACGCCAACGGCAAGTGCCAAGTGCAAGGTCGACCACGGAAGACGACCCGCGTTTTGCGTGGTGCGAGCGACCCTTGTTCTCAGCGCAGTATTGGCCATGCAAAGTCGGACGTCCAGCAATGTCGTGTCGCGCCGAGACAAAGACAGTGGCGGCCGCGACACGCCGCCGAGGCGTCTCTGTCTTGTCATTGAAGCCCCTTGTACAAGATGCAGTAATGCGACGGTACCCAGATGGCACGCGGGCCTCTACAGATTCGAGTCGATGACGCTTGGCAGCTACAAACCACGTACATGGACGTATGGTAGTGTATACAAGCAGCCCCACACATCGTGATTTCGACCCGGACCACCGAATCGTCACGCAACATGGCCGCCATGTACCCTTTGCCCGACGACTTTTTCGTGGTGCCGCCGCTCACGACCGCGACGACCGCGTGGTTTGCCGACTATGGCGAGCGCACGCTGCGGACGATGCTCGACAAGATCCTCAAGAAGGACCCGACAATGCAGTGGAACTACGTCTGCGACGTCGACGGCGTCCGCGTCATGGAAGGCGAGGTGAAAGGCCTCAAGCTCGACAAGAGTACGCGCGTCCGCTACCAAATCACAAAGCTCATGTGATGTTTAGACACGATTCCGTTCCGCGTGTACGGCAAGATCACGGCGACGCTCGAAGAGGTCGCGGCGCTCCACGACTTTAGCACGCGCGAAAAATGCCTCCACCACCGCAAGCACTTTGCCGAAGATACGCTCGACTCGCACACGTTGTACAATGTCATTCCGCGCACGGAAGAGAATGCGTTCAAGCAAATCTACGTGCGCTGGGTCGCGGTCCAGAGCCCCGTCGCGATCATCAAGGACCGCGACTTTGTGTTTGTCGAGGTATGCTGGCCTTTCTCACTTTGCCGTTTCGGGTTTCTGACTTTGCACTGTAGAGTCAAAACGACTTCAAGTTTACGTCCGGTCGGCGGGGATGGGCGTATTGCCAGACGTCGGTCGAGCTCGATGCGCTCCCGCCCATGAAGGGCGCATACGACCTCGTGCGCGGCGAGCTCAACCACACGGGCTGCGTGTACATGGAGACGGACCAGCCCGGCGTCTTGGACGTCGTGTATCATATTTCGTACGATTTCAAGGGCTCGATGCCGACGTGGGTGCGGAAGCTTGCGGTCAAGAACCGCGCGCGCACCGTCAAGTTGACGGCCGACCACGTCCACCAACTGCGGCTCAACTCGCAGCTCCAGCGCTCGATGAGCTCGTCGTCGTCGTCGGTCTCGACCGAGGTCGAATCGGTCGTGAGCACCGCGACGTCGGTCTTTTCCACCGCCGCCGCCAAGCGCTGCGTGCACTGCAACGCGTCGTTCCGGTTCCGAAAGAGCTACCAGTGCCAATCCTGCAGCGAGTCGGTCTGCTCGTCCTGCAGCCAAAAGTGGAAGCTGCCGAGCGGCAACGGCACCAGCGTCCGCGTCTGCTCCACGTGCTCGGACGCGGTTCGGAACGGCTGGGAAGGCTCGGGCGTCTGCGCGACACCGGCCTCGGACATCTCGTCGCACGCCGAGGCCCGCCAGAGTCTCTTCAAGGCCAGCTCGTCCTCGAACGTGCTCGAGACGTCGCCGGCGCGCCTCCGGATCGACGTGTCGCAGAGCGAACCCGTGCCGGCCCGCCACCGCCAGAGCTCTATTTCGAGCGCGTCCGGGCGCGGCAGCGTCGCGCTCGGCCTCGATACGCTCGACCTTTCGTATCTGACGCTATACCACGACCCGAACAAGGGTCGTACCAACTCGCTGGACGAAGAGAGCAGCCAAGTGTCGGGCCTCTCGTCGGAGCCCAACTCGCGCAAGTGCAGCATGGACGTTGAGGACGACCCGGCGTTTGAAAAATTCCTCGACCACGTCAACCGCCACTCGATGCGCCTCTCTCTCTATGTCCGCGAGTCCCAGTGCAGTACTTAACAAGATTTTTCCTTCTTCTTGCCTCTCGGCTTCCCCAGATAGGATTCATCCAGTATTCACTGTATCACAGGTTGGATGCGACGACGACAATATGTCGGAAGTAGAATCTAAGAAATCAGTGCGTAGAATTGACGCCCGTCGTATCTTTGCGCATGATTGTCGACGCCGGCGCCTTTACGTAGAAGCGCCTCGAATGGCGTCGTTGAAAACGAAGCCGACGACGTGGGATGCGCGTTGCTGGCTCCTTGAAGCAGCCACGGCAGATGCTCCTTCCAAGTAAAGAAGAGCAGAGACCATGGAGTTTGAGGGCGCACAGAACCAACGCGCGAGTGCTCTCGCAGCACGAGTTCTGAGACCGCACAGGCCTCTCCTCGACCACAGCCGGAATGGCGCCTCCATGACAACGGATTGCTCCACAGAACACCGAGTATTACCATCTCCACCTTCAGAACGCTACGTTGTTTTGATAGTAATGCATTGGCGATGATGGCTCAAAGCATCGCTAGACCTCTTCTACATTCTCTTGGGAGTAATAATACCCATATCTGCGTATGGAGTTTTCGACACTTTCAGCGTAAATTTATATGGTGATTTTGAAGTACTGAGCGACAAGAATTTATGCATTCTGATTGCCGGCGCCTTGATAACTTTGGTGTTTGCGTCTTGATTTGAGTTTCATTTTGTCATTTGAGATTCGCAAACTATCAATCCATCAAGATCCGAAAGGTGCGTTCGACCAATCACATCATGCCAGAACCCACTTCTCCTGCTCGCCTGTTTCCTGCTCGCCTGTTGGGAATCCAAGGACAAGGGTGTTGCGCCTGCACGTTCTATCTAATCGACTATCTAATACTTCTTTCTACGCCTTAACTACTTTGGCCCAAACGTGGATAAATACGAAAGGTCCACCTTGGGGCTCGCTTTGGGCGTCGCCACGGGGGTCATTGGCGGTGGTGTCATGAGCTCGGTCGTCCACCACGGCTCGGACGATGCATCCGAGCGAGGCGTACCGTACCCACTCACCACGAGGTCGGACGCCGGGCCGTACCGCACGGCCTCAGAGCAGCGGACACAGACGCGGACCAGGTCGTCCATCGACGGCAGCTTGTACTTTTGGCTGCACTTGGAGCACACGGCTTTGGCGCAGGACCGGCAGTGATGCACACGGTGGAATCGAAACGGCTTTGTGCACACCGAGCAATGGACGCCTGGCCGCGGCAGCTTCGTTGCGGCGGCCTTTGCCCGCATCTGCTGCGCACTCAATCGGAGCCGCGTCACGTTCTTCTCAATGTGAAGCACGCTCAAAGCGCGTGTCTTCATGCCGAGCTTGTACGTCCATTGCGGAATGTGGCCCTTGAGGTCGGCGCAAATGTGGTAAATGACGTCGACGACGCCGGGGGTGGCCGTCTCGACAAAGACGCAGCCGGTGCGGAGCAGTTGGCCGCGCACGAGAGCCAACGCCGACGTCTCGAGCGACGGGAGAAACGGCAAGTCGACCGACACTTGGCAGAACGCCCAGCCTCGTCGCCCTGCCGGTGTCTCGAACGCATCTTGGCACTACAAGACATGGTGTAAGTCCCGATCTGCCATGCGATATTAGCACCTCGAGGTAGGTAAAGTCGCGGTTGCTCACGGCCGCCATTGGGCTCGCGCACGCCGTCCACTTCAAGTAGACTTGCTTGAACGGGTCTTGCTTGGTCCGCGGCAAAAAACTGTACAATGTGAACATGTCGAGAATGTCCTCGGCGTAGTGCTTTGTAAAGTGCGCGCACTGCGCCCGCGTCTCGAACGAGTGGATGTGCGCAATCTCTTCGATCGTGGCGCGGGCTGTCGTCACGGCGCGGTAGGGCACAACAACTAAGCAATGTATGAGTCGACAATGTTGCAGGAAGTAGGCTCGTACGCGAGTCAGCGTTGATGGGCACGGTGCCCTTGTAGAGCGCGACAGAGTCGTACGTGGCCACGTGGTCCCACGACGTGGCGCTCGGCTTGGTCAGCGTTGACTCGAGGAACTGATCAAACGTTGTCTCGCCGAGCTGCGTGTAGTGGGCGACTTGCGACGGCATGGGTGGCGGGCACACAAAGGCGTCGTCTCGCAGCGGATACATCGTCGGTCGGCTCCAAATCGCACTCGGCCCGCAAAAGGTCAATTGAGGCACAACAGCATTGCAATGTTGTTACATCCCCCACGCTGAAGGCCCAGCAATGGAAGGAGACAGGTACAGTCATGTCTTCTTTACCCGTTGCGCACGGTGAGGGGCGAAATATAGCAGCGTTACGAGGCCGTCGCATCCAGCTAGTGAACAAGCATCGAGGCAAGACATGTCCGTCTGGCTGAGGTTGTGAGCAGGTCACGCGCAGTAACGTCGCTGCGGGTAGGGTAGATGCGCGAAACCGTGAAACGGCGACCAATGAAATCGCGCGATTTGGTGTAGAAAGGCGATTACAGCGCCAGATGGTCCATCTTGCGCTGCACGCTCGATCAACGACAGTCCCAGCCAACTCTATTTTAATAGAAGACCCACTTCAACAACAACAGTCCCAGCCAACGCTAGACTGATGGATCCGGTGCATCGACATGTAATACGTATACTCGCACAGTACGGCCCTGTTTGCGACTACAATTTATACAATTTACAACAAAAAACTAGGCTCATGAAACGAGCACATGCGAAACTTGCGGCCCACTACAAACGCCCAAGTAAGCGCACAACAAGCGACACATCGGTCCACTCCCCAGTCTCAATGGCAACATCTGCACAAACAAGAAAATTTCGTCCATCGTTTTCGATATCCTGTTGTGCAGAATGTACCAAGCTCCCTCGTGTTTACAATGTTGTATGATATTCGAAATGTCCTATGAACTGCGTTGAGAACGCAGCGTGATGTCAGGAAGGCAGCGCATTTGGGGGCATCACATGTATGTATTGGTGCGCGCCAGTCAACCAACGATGGGCGAGGCGTGGAGGCGGGTTGGCTTTCATGCTTTTGACAACCGCGCGCGGGTCCGACGGTCGCTACGCTGCTACCATGTTGTTCTATTGTTCTATCTCGTGTTATTCTCGCTCACTCGTCTTGGTCGCAGAAACGTCGTTCTTTCTGGAAAAGACTCCAACCTGCAATTTCTATATCGACCAACGTGTACGTTTGGCATCAACGACAGCCGAAATGCCACCAACATCAGTTCCGATGCAAGCTCTCGTCCCGCTGCTTCTCGTTGCGTACTACGCGGGCTTTGCGCACCACAGTGCCACATGTATATATACCGGTGTGCCATCGTCGGCCATGCTAACGCGCCGTCGCTTTGCATTAGCTGCGTCGTTGTGGGAAGCGGACTGGGTGCGCACGGCCGAGGGCTCGGTAGCCAACACGAACGTGACCTGGTTCGACGATGGGGATGTACATCGCTATCGGTTTGCAAAGTACGGCGAGAAGAAGACGTACTGCTTCTACCCGAACGCGACGCTAAGCTTTCGCATGGAGCCGTTGACAAGGTTGACGAGCATACTGCACGGTTTGTTCTCATGTGTATAGAATAGCCCTTCGCAGCCATACGTCGTCCAGTGGCTTGGGCAATTCGAAGCGGCGCACGTCGTTGCCAACTTTGCCGCTGGCTACATGACACAATTGCAGGTATCGTCTTGCTATGGCGATTTGTGTTAAATACGTCGCTGGCGAAGGAACGCATCCCGCTGATCCGCTCGTTGCTGTGGCCGTGGAGTGACTTGCCTGTCAAGTTGACGAGCAAAGCGCGCGACCAGTTGCATCTGACGTACATTGGGTATGTTCTACTAAACGGTCGTCAGTGTTCATTACTTTGCAGCCCGACGTCAACACCGTGCCGCATGCACGAGGGTTTCGAGGCTCATTATACGCCATTTGTGGACCAATTCGTCCCGGAAAAGCTTCAATACGTCCTTGCCCTGTTTCGCAACTACGTCGGTCAGTACAGAGTACTGCCTCCTCCAACAAGGTATTATTAAACTCCATCGATATAGCTTTGCGCTGCGAAAGCTTTCATGCCTTGCCCTGCGACGGCTTTGGTAACGAGTGCTTCATCAAATTGAGCCCATTTGAGTACCCGTGCATCACCGTCCACGGGCCAACTTCAGGCATCGTGCTCGCCAACGCACAAGTCCCGTTCACAATCGCGAGCAAGACATGTACGTACCGCTGCATTTGCATCGGCTTTGAATCGCGGTTGAGTAGATGTCGACATGGCATTCGCCCGCAATTTCCTCCTCGGGCTCTTTGTGTACTTTTCGGCCGAGACGCTGGCGACAAACCGCCTCTTCCACTACGCGTTGGGCACGGCCATTAGCATAGTGTTCTCACTCACGCTGCCCCTGTACTGGATGTCCAAGCTGGCGCTGAACGTGGTGCGGCGACTGCCCGGTGGCAGAGCTCTCGCGAGCGGAATCAAGGTTGCGAGCTCCATCATGGGTCTCGTGCTCCTTCCCGTCATTTATAACCCCCTGTGCTATGTCCGATCCATTTCAATCCTCATGGACGAGCTCACACCATCATTGCGTAGCTGCTGGACCTGCTCTACCAATTTTGGCTCAGCGACAGCGTTATGGACGTGCCGCACCTCGGAAAGCTGTACGTCACCTTTTTTGGGCTCGTGGGCGGCGCCATGGTGCATCGCTTCCATGGTGGGCGCCCGACGCAAGCAAACCTACGAAGCGCGGTGGCGGCACCGGCTACGAGCACTGCGCGGAAGCAAAGGTAGGGCGCCCATTGCTTGCCACGCGCGTCGTTGAAGCGTTGCGCTAGGTCATGGCGGGCTCCCAGCAGTACCTTGCAATCTATCTCCAGGTATTTGGCGTGGCGTTGCTGCTGCAGAGCACGTCGTCAACCACCACATCGTGTGTCGTCGTACTGTTAACACTCCTTTCGTCGGTGCTCTACTGAGCAATTTTCGACGTGCTGGTCGGAGAATGAACATGATCTAGTCAAGGTTTGCTACTAGGAATGTCTAGCAATTCAACTGAACGCCACGGCTCCAGTTTTGCCTGGCAGACTTGATTAGAGCAGAATGCGACGAGCCACGGAGCGGTGTGGTGACTCTCGCTAGCAAACGGCAAAACTATAGCCACCGATTGCCACCACGGTAGTACGATTAACATTCAAGTCCACCCTACTAGTACGTGATGGGCACGCATTTGATGATGCAAGGAGGGTCCAAGTGGAGAGCAAATCACTATAAGAAACTTGCTGCTGGAACCAATCTGGTACAAAAGACATTGTCAAAGTTCAGCTCAAAGCTCGTGCTCCTAAATCTGGTTGGCCGTATCAGGTTGTTGCTTCAACAAGATCTGACGATGGATAGAGTACTTGCTATTTCTGATGACAAATCCCTCTCATCGTCTTTTCGTTGCAACCGTCACGTTGGTCGCCAACAGCGTCTCTCACTAGATGTTTAAATCTGTGTCCTTGAAGGTGATTGAACTAACAACTGCGGCTCCATGTATTTGATTTGTCAAAACACCGCGCCAAAGCCCGTTGCATCACCGCATGATACAATTTAACGAGCGTAGATGGTAGTACCGTGGCAGCTACGACTCGGAAGGAGTATCTTGTCCATCAGCGCTCCTTTGCTCTGCGGGTCAGAGGCTGCAAGGTCTTTCTGCAGTGACAAAGACACTCCTCGGGTCCGTGGACTCGACGCCGCATCTTCGGGTGGCTGGCGCCTGTTTACATGGCGACCAGCATTCCGCGTCTGATGCATCAACATGCACATGCACTGCTGGGACCACCAACACTCGACCAACCTGGTCGCCGCGCTGATCGGGCCGTCTACAGGGGACCATTGGCTACAGTACCCTTCCTTCAAGGAAATGGTGCTGTCGCGAGAGAAATACATTCGTTGGATATACTAGTATCCACTATCCGCTCAAAAAACTTGGTACCACGAGAAGGGTTGTACCGTGAATCACGCTTCCGAGGCAAGAAACGTGCAGGCTCGTCATGGCTGCTTCGCCCGTCAGACATGCATCCTCGTTGATAGCGTAAGCGCTGCCGTATCGGTACACTAACGCGACGCTATGTCGGCACGAGCGACAACATGTAAAGAGCTCCACTGTACAGCACGCAAGCGTTGGCATGCACGGGGCAACTAGAGACGCGGGAGCTAAAGATATGAACCCATCTAGCGTGGTATCCCGTGGGTGTGTGTCCGTCGACCGAGTGACCGGCCTTCATCATTCAACGTCCACCACGTCACTGCAAGGGAAGCACCACTCTTGCTTTTCCCAGCGACACCCGATGCACCTTGCGTGGCCACTGGACACGTATTTGTTCCCGTCGCCGTCGGACGACGACGCGCGCCGGTACAAGTCGATCGGCGATGCGTCCTTGCGCTGCGTTCTCGACGCAGCACTCTCAGTCGAGCGCCGGTCGAGCGGATGGCGCCGCGTCGGCAGCTTCAACGACGTGCGTCTCTACGAAGGAGAGAGCGCGATCCAAGGCATGATTCCGTTCCGCATCGTGGCAAAAGCCTCGGCGACACTTGAAGAAATCGCGCAAATCCACGATTTCTCGACGCACGCCAAGTGCCAAGTGTACAAGAGTGTGTATGCGGACGACATTTTGGCCATGACGACGCTGCACAGCTTTTACCCGCGGACGCCCCACCGCCCGTTCAAGCAGCTGTACCTCAAGTGGAATGCGAACCGCAGCCCCGTGCCCATGATCAAGGACCGCGACTTCATCTACGTCGAGGTAAGGTCCGTTATGGCGAGCGACAAGTATCGACAAGAACGTAGGCGCAAGACGAAGTGCGGCTCACGTCCGGCCGCCGCGGGTGGGTCTACGCGCAAACCAGCGTCGACGTGCCGGGGTTTCCCGTCTTTGACGAAGCCGTGCGCGGCGACCTCTACATGGGCATGGGCGTCGTGTACCTCGAGACAGAGACCCCCGGAGAGCTGCACGTGATTTACCACCTCTGCGTCGACTTCAAGGGCCACATCCCGCACTGGGTCTTCAAGCTCGGCATGAAGGGCCGTGCGCGCAACATTCAATTTATCAACGACCGCGTGCACCGGCTCCGGCTCAGCACCGAGCCGCTGCAGCAACCGTCCGAGCCAACGTCGCCGACCACGTGCGCGCTGTGCCACCGACACAGTCATGCCTTTTGCAAGCACAAGTGCTGCCAGGCGTGCGGCGAGGTACATGCTTCGTACTTGGACACTCGTCAAGAATCCATACTGAACTAGGTCGTGTGCAGCAAGTGCAGCCGCTCGTGGCGACTCTCGGGGCTGGCGGGCGACACCCGCGTATACAAGGCGTGTGTGTGCAATGTGTGCTCCCAAGCCGTGCGCGACCAAGACCGTTGTCCCAGTCAGCGATCGCTGGACGAGACGTCGCCCAGCAGCGACGGCGACCTTCATTACGGCGTCGGTGCCCACGACGATGTGGGCGACGGGTCGAGCAGCGGCACCGACGTTGCCATGGACCTGTCGTATTTATCCGTGTACCAGACCAAGAAAACGACACAATAATGTCGTGTAGAATTGTAGTTCACTACTACAGACTTGCTTGCCGACGAGCGTTCTGTCTCTCAGATATTAGTGTAACCGTTATGTTGTCAGTCTAGTCTAGTCTAGTTTAGTCTAGTCTAGTTTAGTCTAGTCCACCAAGATGGGCACCACGAGCCACGAACCAGAAGTTGTATCCCACCTCTTGTAAGGGCATGGTACGGGCTTCAATATCGGCCCCAAGTGTACTCTTATGAAGGACAGTGGTGGGCGTGTCCAATGAACCTAACCCTACGAACCAAGAAATGCAAGATTCTAGGTCACGGCTTGCGATCGTTATGAAGGAAGTGGACAACGTTCGTATTCGACCAGTGGCGTGCATGCTGCTGCATAGTGCTATACATGTTGATCGCGTTCGGGTGCTGGGGCTTGGTGACCTAGATCACTCCATTGACGTTCGTCATTGCAGGCGTCGGGTCGAGCGCGTCCACGGCGGCGAGGATCACGCGCTGGAATGCGTCGACCGTCCAGAACGCCGAAGGCTTGAGCGTCAACGTCTCGTTTTGATGACGACGATATCGGCGGCCGTGATGAAGCCAATCGGCTCATCGAGCGCGTCGACAAGGGCTCGCATGTCTCGCCCCTCGCTCACTGTCGCCTAGTACTCGCGAATGGACGTTCGTTTCTTCGCAACGTGCTCTT